TCTACCCCCTCCTCCCTTCTTCAACCAGCTTTCTCCTCCTCGTCTTTCTCGCACAGTCTTCTCCCCTCTTTTCTCACAACCACCGGTTCTATCCGCTTCTCCCCTTCCTCAATTTCTCTCCCACTCAGCTTCTCCCTCTCCTCCTTCTCCGATCAGCTTCATCCCCCTCCCTCCTCTCTCCCACCACCTCTCCCTTCTCCCCTTCCTCTCCTCCCACCAGCTATCTTCCTTCTCCCCTCCCCTTACTCGCACGCAGCTTCTCCCCCTCCCTCCTTCTCGCACCTAGCTTCTCCCTTCTCCCCCTGCTCTTCTCTCGCTTCCTCCTTCCTCCACCAGCTCTTGCCCTCCTCCTTCTCCACTACAGCATTCTCCCCGTCCTCCTTCTCCACCACCTCTCCCCCTTCTTCCCCTTCCTTCTCCATCAGCTCTCTACCCATTCTCCCCTTCCTCCTTCTCCGAACAGCTTCTTCGCTCCTCCTCCTCCTCACCCCAGCTTTTTCCCGTTCTCTCCCTTCCTCCTTCTCCACCAGATTCTCCCCCTTCTCCATCCTCCATGCAGCTTTTCTTCTATCCTTCTCGCTCCACCAGCTTTCGCTCCTTCTCCCCCTTCCCTCCTGTCTCCACCAAAGCTTCTCTTCGCTCCCTCTTTCTCCACCAGCTTCTCCCCCTCCATCCTCTCCATCAGCTTCTCCCCTTCCTCATTTCTCCACAACTCTCTCCCTTCTCCCCCTTTCTCTTTCTCTCACCGAGTCTTTCTCCCTTCTTCCCCCTTCCTCATCACAGCACCAGCTTTTCCCCTCTCCTAACCTTCTGCTCGCCTTTCCTCCTTCTCCACAGCTTCTCCCTTCTCCCCTTCCTCATTCCTCCAACCTAGCTTCTCTCCCCCTCCTCCTTTCTCCCCTTTCCTCTTTCTCCACAGCTTCTCGCCCCATCCCGTACCTTTCTCTCACCATGCTTGTGTCTTAAGCTGAAGTGGAAATCGCCATATTTGGAGCAATATATTGTGAAAGTGCGCAATGCCATACGCATCCCTATATACATATATTTTCCGCTAGGATCAGAAATTTCGCACAAACAAGACCGCGAGCTGTGAATTATGATTAGCGGGTCGGGACGCACGCGAAGTGCGCATGCGCGGGGCGGGGCGCACATTTTTTTTCCCACTTGAGTTCCGGACCCACCATAGATAGTGTTTTGTAATATATGGTTCGTATATATATGGTTGGATTATAGTTAGTGTTAGGGTTCGTGTACGGGTTAGTGTTCGGGTTAGGGTTAGGGATAATGGGTATTCATTTTACATTGTTGCTTCGAGGAAGTCGATCGAGTGAATGGAGTGCGCTGATTGGCTGTGGTCCGGAACTCAAGTGGGGAAAAAAATTTCGCGTTGTTTGAGTGTTGGTTTGTGTGTTTGTGGGTTTCGCACGTTTCAGTTCACTTCCGCCAGGTGCGCTGGCTGTAGACTTACAAACACGCAACCACAGGCTAAGGGGCAATCACAGTCCTCCCCCACCTGCACGCTCGCACTAATCCGGATCCAATTAATTATTTAATTAATTAATTAATTAATTAATTAATTTTTCCACTTAATTAATTAATTAATTAATAAAAAAATTCACATTGAGAGAATTCAGCTGCCTTGGCGGAGGTCTGTGCTCTCCGAGTGCTCTAGTTTGTATTATGTAGATTCCTACTGCACGCACCGCATCAAACCATGCGACTCTGAATCGCATTATTCGATCCGTGAATCGAAGCATTCGATCCGTGAATCGCATTATTCAATCCGTGAATCGAAGCATTCGATCCATGAATCGAAGCATTCGATCCGTGAATCGAAGCGTTCGATCCGTGAATCAAAGCATTCGATCCCTGAATCGAAGCATATTCGATCCGTGAATGTAATACATGTGATAAAATCAACCATAAAACAAAAAATCGAATTATGAAACAAAATACATGCCATATCTATGGTTCTAGACTAACTAGTATATTATCAAGACTGTATAATGTAGAGATTTTTGTATTATACACTCCCGGTATTATTTTTGTTTGAAACCTAGGAAATAATTGTAATTACATTTGTGAGATGGCGCCACCAGTTTATTTCCAAATCGAGCAGCAGAGAGCAGGTTGTTGTTGAAGTCAAGTTGAAGCATAGGTTGAAGTGTGTGTAGGCTATGAGTATGAGACTGTGTAAGATATTTTAGTGGCTTAGTAAACTTGCTTTAGTTTATTTATTTTTATATTCTATTCGACCACAAGCAACGCTACTTAATGTTGGCGTTATTGCAAATTCGAAGATTACCGTGGGTGCGTGAGTGTCACAAACTGACAAAAGTAACACCTTATTTAATTTCAAATGTCTATCCTAGTAGTAGTAGTAGTATTTGTAGCAGTGAATCTGCAATGCCAAAGGCAACGGCAAAGCCAAAGGATAGCAATCACAACATGAAATTGTCAGGACAAAAACATTACTCAAATTCATCTAGCATGCTTCCTCCTGCTTTCCGAGAAGAAGCGAAAAAATGGGAGGCGCTGGTGGATTTTAAAAAGTTGTCTGCTAATGACATTATGATTTATGAGCGACATAAAGAAGCAGAAAAGGTTTGTAGGGTATTGTCTATGTAAATTTTATCAACTTCAATATATGTAATACTGTGCAGGGTTATAAATTAACTTTTCTCAAAAAGAGGGAGTCGGCGTAGCAAAATGAGGGAGTCCGTAGTCTGAAGTTCAAAACTAAAGCACAACAACAATAACGCATGTGCGTATTTGAAGGTTCATGCGATGCACGTCTGCCAAATTTTCTTTGGACATTTGCTGAAAAAAATACGGTAATTCCGGGAGACCGTGCTCTGGAACGAACTTGTTATTATAGCAGAATTTTCAGGGAGTCCCACGGACTCCTGCAGATGTCAAATCATGGAGTCCGACAGTAAATCAGGGAGTATGTATTTTACTCCGGACTCCCATTAATTTCGCACCCTGCTGTGTATATATTTTAATATTGTGATCTATTAATATTATATATATATGTGTGTGTGCGTGCGTGCGTGCGTGCGTGCGTGCGTACGTGAGTTTATATATATATATATATTATATAACGTTCATCTAGGACTTATATAGCTCCAAGAAACGGTGTTGCTAGGGTTAGAAGATCTCGGTCGGACAATCGGTCGCACAGCCTGGTCGGGCTATAGGACTTGTAGCAAGAGCTAATAATACCTAGAGTGTACAACGGAAACACGGGAAAATAGTGCTATTTTACGACATGATTATTTTACCTTGCCTGCGAGTCTAGAATAATTTTATGGTATTGCATTAAGCAGAATTCTTTGCTCTCTAAAACAAGACCAACCGCTTGTCAATACGATACTCCTAGGCTGAGATATTGGCTCGTAAACTTCCCCTCCCACAGGCCTCATGGCGCCTCGAATCCACATCAGTCAGCATCCTTCGCGCCGCTAAGGTTGCTTCGTGAGAGTTCGGTTTTTCCGCGATAACTTTATGAATGAACGGCGTTTCGGTTATCATAAGTGACTTTCAGGGGCATCGCCTATGCCCTTATCTCCCATTATCTTTCCTAGCATGGCTAATGCCTGTCATGATGGAGCCGGCAATGTTTTCTAAATTAAGTCTACAACGCAGCTCAGTTACTATATGGTGTAGTAAGAGTACCAAATTTGGGCATGTGACATCAATTATCAGCTCTCCAAGCGGTGACGGAAACCGATAGCCAAAATGCTTAGAGGCGAGTAGGATGCTGACTGATGTGGATTCGAGGCGCCGTGAGGCCTGTGGGATGGGAAGTTTACGAGCCAATATCTCAGCCTAGGAGTATCGTATTAACAAGCGGCTGGTCTTGTTTTAGAGAGCAAAGAATCCTGCTTATAATGCAATACCATAAAATTATTCTAGACTCGCAGGCAAAGTAGAATAATCATGTCGTGAAATAGCACAATTTTCCCGTTTTTCCGTTGTACACTCTAGATATTATTAGCTCTTGCTTATAGTACTTAAGGCCTATTTACACGATGCGTCCTAGACGTATGTCCTAGAAGTACGTCTAGGACGTACGTCCAAAAGCACTATGTATGACAATGCAAATGTATGACCCTTGCGATATCTGATGCACAGGTCGGATGTTATAATTTCTTCCGACATTGCGTTTGCATTGTCATACACGGTGTACGTCCTAGACGTACGTCCAAAACGCACCGTGTATGACATTGACAATGCAAATGTATGACCCTTGCGATATCGGATGCACAGGCTGGAAGTTCTAATTTCTTCCGACATTGCGTTTGCATTGTCATACACGGTGTACGTCCTAGACGTACGTCTAGGACGCATCATGTAAATAGGCCTTTAGGCATCAGAAAAATGTATTACTAGGAGTAGCACAAGTACATTTTGCGAGTGTCTCTTAGAGTTGAACTTGGCATCAATCATTTTTAAGCCACAGTAGTTGCAATAAGAACTGCTTTGAACTGCTTCTCATCAATAGAACTGTATTCTAATGTCAACTGTGAAAACTACAGAACTGTGAGGAAAGTTATGAAGACCCAGAAACTGGCTTCATGGTGATGACACGGTTTGCTCACTACATACGTGGATATTGCTGCGGAGATGCGTGCAGACATGTGAGTAGAATTATAGTGTTTACGTGATTATAAAAAGCAATTTGTCACGAAGCTAATCTTATTGGTGAATTGAATGGTATTCATCCTGTCAGTTTTAGTGCATTTTTGTATATATTACGTGAAATGTGCATGTGAACATAAAATGTTGTCGGTAAATATTGCTTTATACATGAACAGACTCATTCTTTAGATTTTAAATTCTTATCCTTTATTTGGTATGCACTTTCACGACTCGAATTTGACCATATCAGTGGCAGTAGGTGCTGTGCAATTTATTAATGTATTGATAAATATAAAAGATTTACAATTTGTAAGTATATTCTGGTAATTTTCAAACGTTTTTGATTCCAGTGTCCATTTGCCCATATGAACGTTCTGCCCAATCGGAAAACGAAATTATTCAACACAGCTTTTTACAAATGATGAAATTGTTAGTCATATATGTAGGTATTCAGAAATCACAATATTTTGAAGTATGTTTTTTTATTTGGCATTAGGAAAGCAATGCAATGTGCGTTGTTCCATCAAAGAAAATTTGTGGTGTTCTATTGTCTTGCATTTAGATTCAATTGTAACCCGGAAAAACACTACATATGGGACAAGTTATTCTGAAGTTTCTGTTAGCATGACATGTTTGATAAATCTGAGATAGGTCAGCAGTGATTAATAACATCTGAACACTCTCACTGTTTATTTCCTTATCAGTATTTAAGCTTATTGACCATGGCATCAAAATAATGGTGATTAGTTATAAAAAATGATCTGTAGCATACTTAGAAATACCCATTTAATTTTTGATTAAATATGAGTATTTATTTATTCAATATTATATATACATTTTGTAGAAATACATTGTTATCAAAAGTTGCATTGTAAAATAAATAAATTACGTATATAATTCTAATCTATTTGTCTCATTGGAAAAATTTCAAGACAACTTTCAGCATTGAAACACAGTCCATTAATGGGATTTAAATTTAGGAAGAGTTGCAACAACATGTTTTCTTCCCGATTTCATTCTGTTCAAATAAATTCCGTTTTTTGTTTTTGGGGCAATAATTGAGAAACTTTGTTATTTATGTATAAGACTCAAGTAACATGCCATGCTAGTACGTAACTAGTGAACTGTCGATTGTGTTTGGTGCGCTCCACACTTTCCGTGTCGTTTCATACTGTTTGGTGGACTAGCGTAATAAGTGCATGATCACAGCGCGTAGGCATGCAGACGCACGCACGCACATACACTGCACAGTGACCCAGTTAAATCATCGTGACAGCGTCAATAGCCTTGCGTGGTGGTTGCCACGACTACACTCTCGTGTTGCTCTCACGATGGCGCAGCGCTGGTGACATCACGGGCTTGCGTCATCTGCGTGGTGTGTGTCTGGGTATGATGGCTTGTCGCCTCTGTCTGTTCTCTGAGCAGCATTTGCTGGCTTCCGGTGTCGCGAACTCTTCTGGTGCGCACGGAGACCAGCGAGCTGGGAGTAAGCACTCCTGCATACATGGCATTTATATGGCCGCTCACCTATGACAGCCAGATAGAGGGAGAAATAGATAGTTTAAGAGGGTTATAGACACGAAGTTGAATGTCTGGCGGGGTTGTGAGAGCAATTCTGCGTGCGGATGCTTCTTGCTCTTCTTGTTTGTCATCAGGGCCGTAGCCTCTGGGGGGCAAGGGGGCAGCTGCCCCCCTAGATTTTGGAGCAAAATTAAAAAGTAAGCTTAGCTAATAATGGTAGATAACCCAAACGTGATTTTTTTGGTCACTTGCCTATGAAAGCCTTGTCTCAGACCCACCACTACCACACTATATGGACGTTGTTCAAGATCTGCGCCCATTGCTCATCATTACACAGTTGAGTCAGCCTACGGCCCTGGTCATCTAGAAAATTCTTATGACGTATTCCTTATCAGTGTATCGGCCACATTTTTCTGGGGCACCTACGATTGTGCGTGCTTACCTGTGTGCAGACGGACGTGGTTGCGTAGAGTGGACGATTGGCTGAAGCTGCGGTGACAGTATTGACAGAGGAATGGTTTCTCCAGTGTGTGAATGCGCATGTGCGAACGAAGGTTGCTCTTAGAGTTGAAGCCTCGCCTACAGACGGTGCACTGTAGCTTACATACGGGCAGCATCTGTTTCACTGTAATATAGCAAGTGAGGCATCTTGAATTTTGAAACCACATTCATGAAGACAGAAGTGCGTAATACTAAAGAGAATGTCCTGTATAATTTTAGAAGTAACATAAGTATTCATTTCTATCTTATTCGTGGTGATATTATGTTCTTCTGGTTAAGGGGGTATAAAGTGTGCTGTAGGATAGTGCAGGCTCCCGCAGATATTAATTATACCGCCTTACACTAGCCGCCTCACATAAGCAATCACCATAAACAACACACCTCATCGCTCCAAGTGATACATAATAATAGAACGCCGCAGGTAATCACTATACACAACGCCCCTTATAGCATCCGAGTACACTAATGACTCGAGGGCCGATCTGTGATGGTTAGTCCCCTTATACCCCCTTCCCCCAGGTAGGGACTCGGGCCTTGTCCCCAGGTAGGGACTCGGGCCTTTTCCTTTCAGCCGCATAGTCGAGTTTTTCCGAGCTCGTGATCTTCCCTTGTTTTGCCACACCTATTCCTTCCATAAGCCTAAGTTCCACCCCCTTCCCTTAGCCGAGTTACGTCGCGATCTACATTGTAAGGTACGATGGTTATTTGCATTCGGTTATATGACACGCGGCGCGAGTGTTACGACTTGGAGACATCTGTTTAGTATCGTAGGATTGTGTTTGATTAGACTGAAATAGACGCACGAAGAGTAGTCTTCATAATACTGTGTTTCTGTTATCTATCGACGCAACCTGACACTACCTTTAAAACGGGTGCCACTACCTCACCTACTAAACCGAGAACCTGGAAAGGGGAAGCTGAGTGGCTTCCTTAGAGTGCTCTAGGAAAATGCAATGGTAGATTCATTCCAGCGGGTCCAGGAAATTCAGAATACCACTACTCTTCTTTGACTGCACGTCTGATTTGTACAGTGTATCAGTATGGCAGTAACTTGTCTCAGTTGAGACAGAACGAAGTCCTTCTAAATAACAGGTGTATCGTTTGTATTCCATTAAATTGCAACCGTAGTTCTCTTTAAAACACTCTAGGATCATGTAATATTTCCACCCTTTCCACTTCGCATTTGCTGGACCGCACTCTCCAGAATTCTTTGATATGGTCCTTACATGTACATGATTTCCGAATGCTATTTTCAGTTGACTCCAGTAGGTGTCTGTCTGTTTTTTTCAGATAATTCCGGATATTCGTTTAATTTTGTTATAGAGTGTAATACAGTGAGACAAGTTTATTTTGCCCTTAGCCATTACCCCTTATGTCATTTTTCCGTTTGGTTGAACAATACCCGAGGCACTACCATTGCAAACTCACAGAAAAAGAACTTAGCTCTTTAATACCTGTACAGGCTGGTCTGGTCACTTCCTCGGCCATCAGGTGACCGCTCCGCCTGTAGTTTGCATCGTCCAGCATTCCAAAGAAGAGCAGATAACGGCTGCCATACCATATGAGCAGCTCCTGGTCGGGCGGTATTGGCTGTGAGAAGATGAGCGAAACCTCATTAAGCATGCGCATCTAACCTGTATAATACGGCCATTATATTCCACTCTGCTCCATATGGATCTAAACACCCTCTACTAACGTCATGATCTAATAACCACATAGGAAATATTCTTGACATGAACATATAGATCAGCGCTGGAGATTGCAAAGGAGCTACATTGCAATGGTGCAGTAGTCATTATCACTAACACAGATCATGAGTAGTCGTTTAGGAGAAAGATGCTTCGCTCTGAGAGAATCTGTGATTAATACTTCACACTAGGGCTTCATGAGTGTGGACTACAGGTAGTGGTTTCATGCTTATCATCATTTAGGAGAAAGATGCTTCGCTCTGAGAGAATCTGTGCTATTTCACACTAGGGCCTGATGACAGGTAGTGGTTTCGTGTTTATCTTCGGCAGCCGAGAGCAGTACTGCATGATGGGAGTAATGACGCGACGTTTGCTGGTACCTTCGTTGTCCTGTAGAAGAGCTCATTGCCTGACTGCACCAGCTCCAGGTTCTGTTCGTCTTGTTGCCGCGCGCAGCGTACGTAGGAGAGCCAGGTACGCCATGGTGGCTCACTAGCATCGACAACGTGGCTCACACTTCCTTCTGTGTCTAACACCTGCAGGATATAACCAGCAAATGTGTGCGAGCGTACTAAACCTAACGCGATGAACATGTCATGTGCGTTTTCTTGCATCGGTTTGCGATCACATCGAACGTCATTGCTACGAAACCCGACCGAACCACCAAGTAGAAATTGAAATACGTGGCAATCAATCTTTTCTGGTTATAGACAAACACAGAACACAGTGTACACGTTGTTTACATTGTATAGATATATTTATGCTAACACAAACGGCCTTGTAGTGCTATATAAATTTTCCTAACGTATCTAAACGTGCACTCTAGTTTGCATGCGAATGGTGTACTAATTTTTACAACTATTTATATTGTTATTAGCCATGCGATCGATCTGGAATCTCTCATGGCACCTTCCACGTGAAAACTTTCACCCACAGGAGTTTGGCATGATTATGTGGTTCTTGATACTAATTTGATACCTCATACTCATAGACACGATAATAGACACGTCGTGCTGTGGGGGAAAGAAGAACAAATGAAGAGGTACGACAAATACTGAAATAGCTGGAGTAAGAGACATTAAGTTGTAATGCAAAGTAGATGGTATGGGCATGTGGTTAGGAAGAGAGATGAGGAGCCGGTGAGAGGAAGAAGGACGAGAGGACGACAGAGCATTAGATGGAGTGGAGGCGGAGATGAGAAGGTTGGGAGTAACGGAGGACGATACGGCCGATAGAGAGGAAGGTGTAGAAGAATCATCAACAGGGAGGTCAGCCCCTAGCTGACGTCTCAGCGTGGACTATCCGCGAAAGACTACGACAAAGAAGAAGCTGTGGGGGCAGATTACTAGATGGTAGAGGAAGATGTGGCATTACTCACATTTTCACTGTTTCAGGGAAGGGTGTCCCCTTCGCATTTAAATTGCAGGTTGCACCGCATATTGGTTAAGTGGGTTCAGGGTCGTTTATACGCAGGAAAAAGACTGGATAAGTCTAACGCGACTGCCTGCTGTAGGTGGACGCGCTCTGATTGGCTACAATTGGATTGAATTAGGTTAAAGCAAGGATATACACAACCTGTGTATATCTATGGTTAAAGGTTTGCAATTTTTATTTTGGGGGCGATCCTGATTGCACCACCTTTCACAGGGACATGAGGCATAGTTTGTAAAACGTTAAGAGCAGTTCAGCCACCCATCGAGTTATGTTACATAAAAAGAGATGCTTCTCTTTTTATCTAACATAACCGGATGGGTGGCTGAACTGCTCTTAACGTTTTACAAACTATGCCTCATGTCCCTGTGCCACCTTTAAGGTCCATCAAATTATTTAACTCCTCACCTCCCACATCCACGGGTTGTGTTTGGAAAAATCAATCTGGTCGACATGCCGTCGCTGTCCGCAGAATGGACCGATGGTGACACCCTCTCGTATCCACAGCGACGCGTACACTCCGTAACTGCTTGCGCTGACTGTAGATGGCGCCAAATGCACTCCAGGCGGCACAGACGACAGCACTACTGTAAACAGAGGGCACCACTGTATAACAACCACCGACACCTATCACCCGAAATGCTTTGCATGGTAGTGTGTGTGGGTGTGTATGTGTGCATGCGTGCGTGCGTGGGTGAGTGCGTGTGTGTGTGTGTGTGTGTTTGCGCGCGCACGTGTGTGTATGTTTGCTCGAGCGTGTAGGTGTGTGTATGCGCGCGCGTGTGTGTGTGTGTATGTGCGCGCGCGCGCGCGTGTGTGTGTGTGTGTGTGTGTATGCGCGCGCGCGTGTGTGTGTGTATGCGCGTGTGTGTGCGCGCATGTGTGTGTCTCAGTATATGCGCGTGTGCGCGTGTCTCAGTAGGCCTATATGCGTGTGTGCGCGTGTCTCAGTATATGCGCGTGTGCGCGTGCCTCTATATATTTGTGTGTGTGGGCGCGCGCACGTGTGTCTCAGTATATGCGTGTGTGCGCGTGTCTCAGTATATGCGCGTGTGCGCGTGTCTCAGTATATGCGTGTGTGCGCGTGTCTCAGTATATGCGTGTGTGCGCGTGTCTCAGTATATGCATGTGTGTGTGCGTGTGTCTCAGTATATGTATGCGTGTGTGCGCGTGTCTCAGTATATTTGTGTGTGTGCGCGTGTCTCAGTATATTTGTGTGTGGGCGCGTGTCTCTGTATATATATGCGTGTGTGCGCGTGTCTCGGTATATGCGTGTGTGCGCGTGTCTCGGTATATGCGTGTGTGCGCGTGTCTCAGTATATGCGTGTGTGCGCGTGTCTCAGTATATATGCGGGTGTGGCTCACACCATGGTGAGTGTAGGTACAATGCTGCGGTCTCGATCAGGCGGCTGGTAAAGCCGAACTACGCTCGGAAGGATTTCCTGCAGATATGACAGACGACAGCTGATCCTAATAGCAGGCGACAAAAGCCGCGGCTGGTACGACAATAATCACTCCTTAGATTCTGTCCGGAGACGCCATAATGCTGCGTTTATAACTGTGGCCCAGCTCTAGTTTCGCCTTATAGCCAGTAATACAGGAAGATGCAGGAATGATGCGAAGGTCCTTTAAAATGGAGATCGTTGCGACGGAGAGAAAAATAAGTGTATGCTGGATGCACGCTGCAGTATTATGTGGAGACAAAGCTACGGCCAACATAATAGCCGGCGACAAAGCCGTGAGTAGGACTAGCCCAGCTCCGTAAGTCGTCGAAAATCTACGCTCCGCCCCCTGTAGGTTTAGCCGCGTATTGAGATCGTTGGTGTCAGTCTAGCGAACGCGCACAATGTCGTCGATGTGCGTGTGTCGGCGCACGTGTAGCGCTCGCGTACGCGAACAGCGGGAGATGTGTGTAACACACCTACTCTACGGGAATTGCCGCAGATAAATACTAGGTAGAGAGGGCCATTTTAAAATTACACTGTAAGTAAGAGAGCGCCCCGTTTTGAGAACGCAGACCTGCGTGTTTTTTTACTCCGGTCTATTACACTGCCAGCTTATACTTGTGACTTTAGCTTGTCTCTATGATTTTAACTAAAGGTCTACTATACTCGCTTAGCTTTTATGATTATCTATTTTTTTCCTAGCATTGCCGCTATCTTTATAGTAAGTATTTGTCTTTGTCTTTCTATACTATCATCTGTCTACTATAAAGCTTCAATTTTCATCTGGGAATGTTACTCTAGCAAATCTGTTACTTCAGGGCACGCCTCTAGTAGAGCATACGCGTGTATATATA